TGAGTCTATTTAATTAATACACAAAGTATGGTAATTGATTAAGCGGTAGAAAACGGCAGTACAAGAGACGGACGGACGGGTGGACTCGGGCGCCACCAGACCAAAATCTCGCGCCTGGACGATGTCGGCGGTAATCACGGACGGATGGGTCGGTTTCGGTAGCCTCGGAAGTAGTTGCAATCGAAGATGTTAATTCCAGGACTCGGCGGCCCTGGTTCAGCAAATGGCGGCGGTACTGTCTGGAACCACTGACCTGAATAAAAAATTGAAATAGAGGTCAGTGTCTGGAACTCTAAAACAAAATATGGCTTACCGGCAAATTCCCTAGCGGAAGAAAAGTAATTAGTCACAAGGTGGCCGTTTTTATAGCGGACAGACTCGGAAAAAAGGACAACCCCCCCCCCAATTAAAAAAAAACGGTTTACCTTCGAAAATTAATATCGCGGTCGGACAAAGGTCAATAAAACAGACAAAAGATGAAACTTACTCCCTGTACGTAAAACGCAAATAGATAGATCTAAATTACGGTACGCAAAATAGTAAAAGATATTACGGACTTACTTACGGCAAGCAGAACGTAAAAAGATAGATAGATCCTTCCAAAATTGAGCGTTTTCCTTATAAAGAAAACCCATTTTGGTAGAAGTGAAACAAGGAAAATCCAACTCGTCGCGCATTCAATACGAAATCGAAACCAATAAATTCGATTTTTAATTAATTACTCTGTCCGTGCTAAAATTCCCGAACATCTGGCAATCGATTCGTTAATTAAGCGCGCACAATTTGACACCAAAATCTCACCGGTAGGTACTTCTTTACTGGAACTCATTTAATTAGTGTATGCTAACTATACATAGGTACTCAAATGAAAGCTCATGAATTCTTTACATTAATTATCTTTATGTTAATTTCACGTTTTCGGCCACAAAGGCTGCTTGCGGTTATCTCTTCTTGCAGGCAGGCCGTCAACTGTTAACGAGCAAAACAACTCGCTTCGGAACTTGTTCTATCCTTGGTTTTACTTTTTAAGTATAGAGAAATAAAACGGCCTATACCTAAACAATTAACGGCGCCGAAACTAAAGAATATTAATTGTCATTCATCTTCTCCAGAACAAGATCCTTCGGTGCTTACAAAAATAATTCCAAAATACCAACAGGAACGGTGGTAGGCGGACTAATTAATTATGGCCTCTCCTGATCTCCATGCCCCCGCGTCGATAATTAAGGTTTTCAATGTAACGAAGCCCAAACCAATCGTTACTATACAGGGTGGTCCTCGTAAACTGCAAACTCCACTCAGAAATTCGGGGTGCTTCGTTACACTATATAGTTTCAACGGCCGGGCCGTTGTGACACATGCGCGGTGCGTGAAAGGCGAATCAGTTGATTTGCTTTGCTCGCAGCTACGCTGTTGCGATGTATGTATATACAATGGCCCGTATGAATAAAAGTAAGCAAATGATACTTGCAAAATTCAAAGTAAAATACTCGTAAGTGCTCCTTCGCACTGGGCGATTTAGCAACGCTTCTAAGCAGAAGGACAAGACGCAGTGCAGCGCTGCTAAACCATGCTAAACAGACCAGCATGAAGGGGCAGTTCCGAGTATTTACTTTGAATTTTGCAGTATAAGCATTTTGCTTACTTTTATTCATACGGGGCAATGGCTGTTGATTTGTCACTATATCTCCATCCCGTTAGTGCGCACACTCGCGTACGGCCTGCGCAAGATTAAATGCTCTTTCTTTTATGTCTTAAGAATACCTATGTGTACCAAATTTGGTTCTAATCGGTAGAGCCGTTTAGCCGGAAATGATTCGGATTCCTTGTGCTTTAAAACGTGTATTTCCGTAAAAAAAATGGGGGGTGGGGTCATTTCACCCCAATGCAATACTTCCAGCTTACTATTGCGGGTAGCAAAAATCTTCTTTTCATGAGACATTTGCTAGTACACACATAGCACTGCCATTGTTAGTAAAGAATTTAAAAAAAATGGAAAATTCGAAACCGTTAGTACGTACGTACGCTTAGGCCTCGTGTACATTGGCGAGAGTTGAGCGGTGAGCGGTGAGCGTTGTGCGATGGAGCGTTGGTATGTGTACTTTAATGAGCGTCGACATCGCAAAATTACAGTGTTACATGCCTCCATTCAAGGGCAGTTCGTTTGCATTGGAAAGGAAACCAATATATTTTTAAAAAAACCTTCAAGAGCACATTAAACTGCCATAGACTGCGCCGCACTATAGGAATATTACTGTGCGATATTGCTCATAATTCAAGTCAGCTTGAAACGCAGCGTTACCGCTTAGCGATGCCGCTCACAGCTTCCGCCAATGTACACACTTGGATTAATTTTACAAGTGCTTGATTTTATTTTACAAACGCTCATCGCTCACCGCTCAATGCTCACCGCTCGCCAACGTACACGCGGGCTTATACTCGCTTTGACTATACAATGTGGGTGCCTAATCCTTAATTATGCGCCACCCGGTATCTAAGTGAGGGACTACGATTCTGACGACATGTAAGAGACGTCTCAAACAACAATGTTTCGAGACCGTTGTGTATGCCGGTGGTTTGAATTGAGCATTTACTCCTAATTCATTCAGTATTAAATTCATATAAAAAGTAGGATGCCTTAATAGAAAACGTTCAAATAGTAATAAATGCCAAAATTCGGCTACGCTAACCTTCCACGTACTTCAAATAAACGTCGTTCGAGTTTATCCACACCATGAATAAAAGGTTGATAGCCTCAGCCTAAAATCAATATTAAAGTATGAATTAAACTAATTTCAAAAAATAAATAAAAAATAAAAACATTAACCGAACTAAATGTTAAATAAAATGAAATTATTAATAATAAAACTACAAAAGAAAATAAACTCCTATAAAATTGAGTGATCAACACCAATCAAAAGCAAGTAATTTAAATGACAATTTCTCCGTCTCAGTTCAGTGTTAGGTTTGTTATCTGCTTCTTGTTTTGCAACTTGCTTTTAAATTACTATATTTCGTGTAGTACTCTTACTTATGTGATTTAACCGTTGAGTGAAGATTTAACTTTATCATGCTTTGCTATCAAACATTTATTACAACTCATTGGCAACATAATTTTGCTATTGCTTAGGTAGGTACCTACCTATTCGAGATTATTAACTATTAAAATAGGTACTCAACGGTTCTGATCAAAATACGAAGACTTGTCTATATACAAATTATACTAGGTACTTCGGTTTTATTTTGTGTTCCTTCTCTGGTGTAAGAGTATAGGTACATTATTCCGATGAGCGTGGTCTATATTGTACTAGGAATATAAACAGCACAATACCTAAAATTCTCTTTTAAAGGTTCGATTTACGTAGGTCTTTCGCGTGATGGTATTTTTTTCCAAGATGCAAGTTACAGTAATGCTGACTGGGATTCTCGGTAGTATGTAAAAGGCATGGCATGGTGCAGCGCCTTTTTTTCCACTAGGCCCATCAGGCCCTGGCCTAGGGCCCGCACGCTGAAAGGGCCCGAAATCGACACAGTGATTACAATAAAATAAGAACCAAATTTCAAATATTGAGTAGCATTGGTCAGGGCTATTTAATTTCCGCGTAAAATGCGATCTAAAATTAACGATTTGAGGTGTTTCATGGACACACAGAAATTATACGATCCTTTAAAAAGAATGTGGGGATATTTACAAAATGGATTGTAAGGATATGTAAATCTAGATATGCAATATCGAGATTCTATTGAGCATATACCGTTCAATTCCTATAAGTAACGCATCGGGTGAGAGATCGTTTTCCACATTAAAACGAGTCAAGACCTATTTAAGGAACTGTTTGAATCAAGACAATACTTCGTCCTTGGCAGTTCTTAATGTAGAAAGTGACATCCTAAATGTAATAGATGTAAATAAACTTATAGACCAATTCGCTGATCTGAAAATACGGAAACGAGTAATTTAGATGTATGTTTGTGTGCGCATTGTAGTATTTACCTACCTAACTTACAACTGATTTTTAATTATTATTCACTAGATTTTTATATTTTGTATCGCATTATGAGAATATTTGTTTGATTTAAATTTTATATATTTTTTACTTATGCTTATTATAATTTTTTGTATACCTAAATCTGACATATACGCTAATGTCTGAAGTAGTTTGATTTTACCTAAAATTCACATGCACTGTTTGGGCATGAGGTGGGGCCCCCAAATATTGAGGGGCCTAGGGCCCGCCTATTTCAAAATTAGGCGCTGGCATGGTGACAGTTTGCGATTGATTGACGAACTTCCGGTTAATAAGATCTCTCTTTTAATTTCTTCGTCAACCGGAAAGGCTTTCTATATTCTGATGCTGAAGAGATCCAATTTTGTCTTCAGAGCATGGTATAATAACGGTATCGCAACGCGCATCGTGTCCCCTTTCCCCACGCCGTATGATGTCAATACGTTACAAACTCCGGCGCGCGTATACAAATGCATAGGGAAGAGGTTACGGAAACGCACTATTATTTGTGTATCTGTCGGCGAAATTTAGGTTTATTTGAGTGTCTATATAATATTACACACACAAATGCAAGCTCGCACAAAAACATTACAATGAAATGCAAAGCAGATAAAATGTAAGTAGAGGTATTGTTCAAATGGTGCGCCAAGCGGCTGTACGTGAATGGAAAACGAAGATCATGTACCTCTATTTTTTAAACAGTTTGAAAATATATTAGACTAGGGCTTGTAATCAATCAAAATGTATTTAATAATTTGATATACTCACGTATATCTAAATGATCGAAGCAATAAAAGTATTTCCGCGTACTGTAAATATCCTAGTTCACTTACATCGTATTAATCAGATTAATTATATTAAGTAATTTTGTACAAAGCTTATTCTTCTATTCTAAGAACGTTCTTTTTTGACTCGGCTACAGCGTCTCCTCGTATGATAACGGATGCCCCAATTTTGTTTAGTCTACAAATTTTTTCTCATACGTATATCAAGGAGTTATTTAAAACTGAAGAGTTCCTTAATATCATTTCTACTAGTGTGGCTGACGTCGTACTCAAAAATGCATCAAAAGAAATTGAGGAACTTAATGCAAAAGTTATTCACCTGGAAAGGGAAAACAAAAGTTTGCAGAAGGAAGTAGTTATTTTGAAGAAAGAGATGGATTCATTAGAACAATATAGTCGCAGGCGTTGTCTTCGCATTTTTGGGATAAAAGAAAGTGGTTCGGATGATCCCGAAAATTTAGTTTTAGGTGTGTTCAATGGGCAACTGAAACTTGCGTTACAACCGAATGACATTGAACGCGTTCATAGAATTGGACCTAAACTTCCAAATAATCAAAAACCCAGGCCCATCATCGTCCTATTCCATAGCTATAAGATTAGGCAAGCTGTTTTTTCTTCGAAAAAGCTACTGAAAAATTCCGGCATCACTATTCGAGAAGATCTTACCAAGTACAGATTGCAACTACTCCAAACCGCAGCTAAGAAGTTTAGTGCACATAATACTTGGACAATTGACGGAAAAATTTTTGTCAAACATAATGGCAAGATCAAAGCTATAAATACGTCGGAAGATATCTAAACGGTGATGGGTTCCAACGTGTAATCTGTGAAGTGAGGGAAATCTTGGTGTTGGTTATTAGTTCATTTTATTTTCTCTGTATAACAAAAACTTCATTTTACTAACTTTAGGAGCTTCCTTTTCTAGTTGAAGCTTATCTGTTTATGTGTTATCCTTATCATAGCTCAATACTTCGCTAGTGATATTTATGTAAAACTTTCTAGGTGGAATTTAATTTCATTGTTGCACTGTTCTTTGAATTATCAATTTATGTTAACTTTTTTTCATTAAATAATAGAAATTAACTTTTGTATTAGGATACATGGTTTGTTGAATTTTTGATAACGGTTACAATATGCTTTTAATATTAATTTTCTATTTCAGTACATCTCCAACATAATTAATTCCAAGAGCTGATTTACTCTGGGTGAAATGGAGTGCACGTATATGCTTAGAAATGGTCTCTGATCTTTTGCTTGCTTTAACACTCTGTTTTGCGATACTTACCTGCTGTGAGGGAGCCCGAACCGATTTAATTTATTAGTAAGCAATCAAGCGCCGACCTTTGTTAAGATTGTAAGTTACTTGTTGACTCACAATACTCATTTGTTTTTTGTCTAATTTCGATATTCGCCTATTACAACTGAATCACGGTTTGTAAATAATAATGAAAATTGTGCACGTTAACGTTCGTTCGTTGATCAGTAAGTTTAGTAATTTTAAGGATATGGTAATCAAGGGAAAATTTGATGTCGTTATGGTATCGGAAACTTGGCTGAACTGTGATATAAGTGATGATCTTATTAATATTGTAGGATATACAGTTCTGCGTAAAGATAGGTGCAGTCGTGGTGGTGGTGTTGCTATTTACGTTAAACAACCGTTGAATAATGTAGTTTTGAATACACCATCCAGTATTGAGCAATTATGGGTAGGTATTGAAATCAATCGTAAGAAGGTGACAATGGGTTGTTTATATAGACCGCCGCATTGCGATCCCAACTTTTTTGTGGACGAGCTCGAGGAGACACTAACCAATCTGATTATGATCCATGACTATGTACTTGCCATGGGCGATCTTAATTTCAATCTGCTATTGCACAATAACTCCTCAGTTGAATATTTTACTATGTCGTTGCAAAACATTGGGTTTTATCAATTGGTTGATTCCCCGACTCGTATCACGTCAACAACTAGTAGTCTCTTGGATCTCCTAATTACCAACGACTGTGGTTTAGTGTCCGCTTGTGACGTAGTGTCAGTCAGTGATTTAGCCGATCATGACTTGGTTGTGGCGACTTTGGAGTTGGATGACCATGTTGTACCGAATCTCCCTGTACTATACCGTGCTTATAAGCAACTAGATATGCATGCTTTTGATCAAGAACTGCATTGCTTACCGTTTCTCGATATGCTAGGATTAGAAGGAGTGAACTTAAAATTAGAATACTTTAATAGTCTGCTTAGTTACCTACTGAATAAGCATTTACCTCTCAAATCCAAAGTTTTTAAGAAAACTCCTTCACTGTGGCTGTCCGAGAACACAAAGTTGCTAATTAAATTAAGGGATAACGCCCTGCGGAAAAGTAGGCAAACTGGAAAACCGCAACACTGAGATTATTACAAATCTCTGAGGAATTTTACTAATCTTACTATTAAGAATGATAAAAAAGCTTATTTTAATTTCCGTGCACGACAATGTACTTCATGGCTTAACTTATACAGCAGCGGAATCATATCTAAAAAAGTCGTCGACATACCTTTGCACCTTCAAATACCTGATGATATTAATACGTTCTTCATCAAGTCTGTACCTAATCTAAACGGTAATATTGATCGAGTTATAAGGTTCTATAATAGTGGAAAGCTTAATGCTAACATTCCGGAGTTTAAGTTTCAAACTGTCACACCTGATCAAATATTTGACATTATTCTAAACCTGAAATCTAACGCTTGTGGTGTAGATAATTTTAATGTAAAATTCATCAAATTGTGTTGTCCTTTCTTAATCCCATTCATCACTCATCTTGTAAATACAGCCATTTTGGAGTGTGAGTTTCGTCCTTGTGGAAAAAAGCAATCGTTAAACCGATACCAAAAATATTAAAACCAGGAAGTTATTCGGACCTTAGGCCGATCAGTACCTATACTGCCAATGTTATCTAAAGTTTTGGAAAGATGCTTAGAGTTGCAAATAAGGAACTTCGTCACACAATTCAATCTACTACCGGAAATGCAATCCGGATTCAGACCAAATCATAGTTGCTCTACAGCCTTGGCGCATGTGATGGATGATATACTTTGTGCAATTGATGGTGGGAAGATTACGGTGTTGGTTCTATTAGACTACAGTAAAGCATTTGACACTATTGACCATAATATACTGTTAGCAGTGTTACGGCACCTTGGCTTTGGTAACTGTGCACTTAACCTCATGAAAAGTTTTCTAGAGGGTAGATCTCAATTAGTTAGTTTAAATCACAATACATTTTCTAATGTATTGACTGTTAAGTCCGGCGTACCTCAAGGTTCTATATTAGGACCACTGCTTTATACGTTGTACACAAGTCAGTTGCACAAAGTTCTAAAGACTTGCAGTTATCATCTATATGCGGACGACACACAATTATATTACTCCTTCTTTAAACATGAATTACATAATGCTTGTACAAAGATAAATGCGGATCTGAGTTTTCTCTATTCCCACTCCAAAGATCATAATTTACTGCTCAATCCTAAGAAATCCGTCGCGTTGGTATTTGGTGCAGGAGCATTACTTTCTGCTGAGTATGTAAAATTACGTATTGATGATGTACCAATTACTGTAAAAAATGTCGCTAAAAATTTAGGATTGTGCGTAGATAGTGATCTTGCTTTAGAGAACATGTAAGGAACTGTATACGCAAGGCTTATGGAAATTTGAAATGCCTGTATCCGCACCGAGCATTCCTGTCCGTTAAGACAAAAAAAATGTTGTGCGACTCGTTAGTGTTGTCGCAATTTAATCATTGTGACATGGTCTATGGGCCATGTCTTGATGCTGCCTCTGACAAACGTATACAGGTTGTTCAAAATGATTGTGTTCGCTTCATTTTTGGTCTTAGGCGTCGCAGTCATATCTCTCACAAATTGAGAGAATTAGCATGGCTTAATATGTCACAAAGACGGAAGCTTCATTCTTTATGTGTGTATCACTCTTTAATTACTACTGGGTTTCCGAAATATCTTAATAACAAGATACGATACCGTACCGACGTACACAACGTGAATATACGGGGATTATTATCGATGCCCTCCTTCAAGTTTATTTCTAAATCAGCTTATCTGAAATCATTTTCTTACAACGCAGTTGTAATGTACAATGCCCTTTCACCCGAATTGAAACGCTTACCCTTAAAATTATTGAAATATCGTATGACATCTTTAATGTTAGACGATTAACGTGCACAAAGCAAATATGGCAATCACAGTAGGCATCACTGTCTATAGGGTAACACTGGTCGGATTATATTTACATTCTGTCAGTTATGGGTTTTTTCGCAGCAATTTTGAGGTTAAGTGGTAGAGCGGAGAAGAGCAGTCCCTCAGTATTGCTCTTCAACCGAACTTCGCCTTTGGGGTTGCAGTCTATTGCATATACGTGCATCTGTATCTTTAAACTGTAAAAATATGTACTACCTAATCGTATTTGTCAACTGCTGCATCACCCAATAAAGCTATATTATTATTATTACTATTATTAAATATAGCAAACTTTGAAGATTATGAAAGGTTATTAGAAGAGCTTGAAATGAGCAAAGAAAATTTAGAAATAGCAAATGAAATACAGGATGACGGTTTAAAATATATTGCGGGTTATGTGGCGTTTAAATTTAAGCATAAATATAAATTATTTACCAACGAAGAGATGTCAGTTTCATCAGATTTGCCAAGTTGGATCAATTATGTATCAAAAGACAAATTATACCACCCGAGTGCAGACTAAAGCCCGTTTGTAACGATCACTTATTTAGTCAAATTTTTAGTCATTTTTTCTTTCAATTAAGATAATGCTATCCTAAAAATGTCATAAATGATGAAACTGTATGTAACATTCCATAATATTGTCAATTTTTTAGTACCTGTAAAATGTAAACATTTGTACATAACCTATATGTTATATTAAATCTGGAGAGTTAAATATTTATCTTCTCTAAATTAAGGTCTGTCTACTGTCAACTATTATTGTGAGCTTGAAAAATGAATATAAATATAAATTTATTAGATGATCATCTTTTGTTAATTTTAAACCTTGCTGCTGCGGTTACTGTTGTTACAACCGCAGTAATCTATAAAAAAGTAACGAAAAAAGTTATGAAAAGGAAACCTGTGCGGAAATGGTTAAGTCGCAGAACAGTTCTTGGACCAGGAGTTTTACAAATGTTAAACGATGAACTCGCTGTAGAAGATTGTCCTTCTTACAGGAATTACTTGAGGATGAATAAAGAACAATTTAATAATTTATTAAGTATGTTGAAAAAAGACATTGAAAAGACAGATACATTCATGCAAGAAACAATTTCTGCAAAGACCAGGTACCTAGTAATATATATTCATGTTCGATTAGTACTTACCCATCATTTACTTTTGTTGACAGGCTGGAAATAACTTTACGATTCTTAGCAACAGGGGAGTCATATAGATCCTTAATGTATTCTACACGAGTGCATGAAAGTAGCATATCTAGATTTATACCTGAAGTAGCTCAAGCAATATATAAACATCTTCACATAAAGTATGTTAAGACACCAGATACCGTGGGAGAATGGTTGACGATTGCAGAAGAGTTTGATAACCTATGGCAATTTCCAAATTGCTTAGGTGCTCTAGATGGCCGTCATATTAAATTTACTCCTCCTAGGTCCGATGGGTCATATTTCTTCAATTATAAAGGGGACCACAGCATCGTACTATTAGCCTTAGCCGATGCTCGGTATAAATTTTCATACATTAATGTTGGTTGTAATGGCCGTGTAAGCGATGGAGGAGGGTTCAAAGATTCTGCATTAGCAACAGCAATGTCCACAAACCGTCTCAATTTTCCACCTGCAACAGCATTACCAGGAAGAATACGACCAGTACCATATGTAATTGTTGCAGACGACGCGTGCCCACTCAAAGATGCAATTATGAAACCATATCCATTTAGGGGTTTATCTCATGACGAACGAATATTCAATTACCGGTTGTCTAGAGCTCGGAGGATTATTGAAAATGCCTTTGGCATCTTAGCTAATAGATTTAGAGTTTTGCTTAATCCTATACATCTTCGAGTCACCAAAGTTGAAACAATTACTCTTGCATGTGTGGCCCTACATAATTATCTGGCTACAGAAAATGGAAATTTATACACCGACTTGAATGAAAATGATTGTACTAAAGAAGACATAAATAAAATCAGTAGACAAGGTGGTAATAAATCGACTCAGAATGCAAGGGACATTCGGGAAGAATTTAAACAGTACTTTTGTTCAAATATTGGAAGCGTTGAGTGGCAAGAAAGAGCTGTGAATAACTATAACATGTAACTGATCTTGATTTCAAATGGAGGTTGTAATAAACATTGTTATGGAATTTATTTTTATTAGTCATTATCATTATAAATGAGATATTTCTTAATTGAGTCCTAGTCTCTAGTTGCATTGAATAGAAGTTGCACAATTTGTTCTTGCGTATCATTCAAAACATTCCTATCTACTAACATTCTCAGCCGGCTAACTACAAAATCTCCAAAAATGTTCAAATGGTCTCGTTCTAATGGTTTGTTGTGTTGCAATATCCCCAATTGCCACGGCTAATTTTCCCATTGTGTCATTCGCAGTTGTTATTAATGATGCATCATCCATTTTTCTTTTCCTTTTGTTGTTTACATTGTGCGGTTGTTGGCTTACTGAATGTGTTGACAAAATTGGTGTAGACGAACCAGATACAGGAGTGTCAGACACACCTTCATCTACATACTCAATTTGAAACTGATCGTCGTCTTGAAAGAATGTGTCACTTTCTTCGTCCTGTGGTTAGAGTAATATATTAATTATCCCATAAGTCAAATATTTTAACTTACATAATATACCTGGCTGTTGTCCTCTGCAGTTTGTTGGGTGGCTATTGAATCAACTGCTGGTCGTGGATTTGTGTGGTCTATAATGAACAACATGTGTTCATAATACCATAACGTCGGATAATAAACCTATATAAATTAATTCTAGCAATATTAATTAGATCCCTCTAAAATAACGTCAACATACCTCTTCTGCACCAGCACCACTATTTAATGACGATTTATATTTACGATGTTCCGTTAGAAAGTTTGTTCGCAAACCATTTATTTTAGATTTAATTTCCCCTGTTGTTGTTTTTGGGCGAAGACTCTGTAGACCTTGTTCTATCTCCTGATAAGCTGTTAATTTCATGTGCTTGTTCTTATATTCGGTTGTTTTGACGGCGTACAAACAGGGTCTAGCTTTATACAGGTCGATAAGTTGTAAGACTTGTTCTTGGCTCCAAGACATTTTCACCTTTTAACATAAACTAATAAAAATGATTATAATTTTATTTTATTAAACACTTGCTGCCGCTGACGAAGAACTAATACCGACAATAATTTAAGGTTAGAAAAAACATTTAAATTTACAAATTCCCTATAATCTGTAAAAAGTAACTAAAAAATTGAGGGAAAAATAGGACAGGTTCTAAACATTACAAAAATAGGACAACTTTCAGTTCCTAAAATAAGTACCAAAAAATTGATCAAAGTTGATGTATGAAATGTTCAATTTTTTTGTTCCTAAAAAAATTACTTAAAAATTGACTAAATAAATGATCGTTACAAACGGGCTTTAGTTCAACTAGGAAAAAGCATTCGACAAGAATTTCTTAAAGTCCATGGTAGAACTTTTTGTAAACATCTACTATCTCCTGAAGACGTAATCACCGCATTGATTTAAGTGTTCACTTATGTAAGAATAAGAGACGTTAATAATAGCCTCAGTTTAT